TTTTTTTTTTTTCTTAGTCTATTATTTACCACAACATGCTACCCGTAAAATAAATACATGAATGCATAATAAATGGATAACGTATTTCACATAAGAATTGATAGGTTTTCAAAGGTGTTGCAGCAGAGCAACAGGCAGAAGGAAAAGGAGGACACAGAGAATTTGGGAAGATAAGGAATTCTCTGGATTGGAACAAAGGCAGGCTGAGGCCTTCACGGCATTTTTGCTAGGGGTGGAGTTTGAGGAGGATGTTTAGGTAGACCTGAAGAGCTGACTGGGGCCTTCCCTGAGGTGGCGGGAAAGGTGAAAGGAAACTGCACCCTGGACTGAGGTGGAGGAGCGGGGAGATGGTCTCTGGGAAGATAAGCTGTTGTTTTAAGGGCTTCAGCCATATTAGATGACCACCATAATAATTCAGCAATTCACACTAGGGCCAGAGCCTATCAAGAATATTTTTGAGAAAGAAGTAAAAATATTATCAATCTGTACTTGCTAGTACATTTTTGCAGTACAAAGTGATTATATTTCTCTTGAGGAGTTGGTCCACCTACATAGCATATATTAATATGTCTAGGACTGGGGAGATAGCTCAGTAGAATAAGCACTTGCCTGGCAAGTGCAAGGTCCTGAGTTCAATCCCCAGTACCTCAAAAAAAAATTTTTTTTTTTTCTATCCCCTTTTCTCTATTTATGCTTTGAGTATCTCGTGGGAGAGAAGCCCTATGATATTTATGCTCATGTGTCTGATGTATTTTGCTTAACATTGTGATCTAAATGTGGGTTCATTTTCCTACAAATGACTCAACTTGATTTTTCTGTATGGTAAAGTAGTAGCCCCTTGTGCATATTGTTATGGGTCGCTCAGAATAGGAACCTGATCAGCCAGATTGGAATTTAAAAGGTCGTTTACTACGGAGCTGCCCCCGCCCCAGCTCTCTCTCACACAGGAGAGGACTGAATGGCGGCTAGCCCTACAAGCAGGGGGCTTTTCAAACATGGAACCACAGTTTGGTAAACACATTCATTGTCTGACAGAAAATAATGCTTTCAGGGTCAGTGTGACCACTATTTGATAAGTTTTGATGATGTCGCAGCAGAGAAACAGGTAGAAGGAAAAAGGGAAAGAGGCTTTATTATTTTGGAGGACACAGAGAGAATTTGGGAAGATAAGGAATTCTCTGGATTGGAACAAAGGGAGCCTGAGGCTTTGCCAGGGGTGGGGTTTGAGGGGGAAGTTTTTTATTTTATTTT